ATCGGTCCTTAGTTGTTTCTTGTCAACAGCACCGAAAGATTTCAAGAACTCTGTCTTACTCTGTGATCTTGTAATTAGTTTTGTTAATGTGCACTCATTTACTCCAGGAACTGCAGTGGGTGTAAAATTTACACATATGCAAATTTTACATCTGGTTTGTAATTTTTTTTTTTGCATACTAGCTAGCTGTTTGTTAACAATTTTGATGCATTTTGGAGATACATGCACAGAAATATCAAGATGAACAATTACTTATCTTTTTGCAGAAAGTCCCATTCATATACAGGTACATGTAATAAATATGTAATATAATATATGTATATATATAATAAATGTCAGGGTTAGAAACTCCCTAAAATTACAACTCGCAAATAATTGCGAGTACCAAGAAAGTGAACTCGCAATTATAAGACTACTAGCAATTTTCATATAAAGTTAAATTTATATAAATTAAATACATGTAACTTAAGGAAAAAGTAGCTACTGTACAATGCACAAAATACAGCTACAGGGTGACTTTTATTTAAATTACTGATTTAAATCAAAAGCATTGTGTTCTGTCATATTATATAATTTTGCTACAGTTTCAATGCAAAAAAAATGAACTCGCAAGTTTTTGCGAGTTACCTAATTTTTAACTCGCAATTTTGGAATTCTAACTCGCGTTTTGCGAGTTGTATATAGTGAATTTCGAACCCTGAATGTAATAAATAAATATATATATACAGGTACATGTATGCACACATTCTCACAGATGTTGCAGATTTTACTCCTGGTGTGTTAATGTAATTTTTGAAATGAGCAAACTTCAGTTTTGTGTAAATTGGTATCAAGTGGGCAGTTTTCAGACAATATGGAGGTGTTTTGGGGATATTAAAAGAGGAAGATACTTCTAATATTATGTTGCCCAAGGTGACCAGAAGTCATCTGTTCACAAAAAATAAAGCAGGAGTAAATTTACTTATATGTGAAAGTTTAGTTACTAGTAATTTGTACCTTAAGGCTGACTAGATGCAAATTTTGCACTAAGAATAAAGGAACTCATATGCAAATCATCCCCCCCCCACCCATTAACATACATCATTCAAAATACATCCGTACATGGTAAATGAGTGCATTCAACAACACAATACACAACCAACCTCATCATAAAATTGTACTTCTAAAGTTTTTCGGACATCACTGATGGCTTTGACTTCATCAAAACCAGTCTCCAACAGATGGGTCCTGTCAATTAAAATAAAGTTTGTATCACCCTCAGAATTATGTGTTACATCATTCACTTTTAAAGGCCTTCATGTGACCATTTCCTTCTGAACTTTGCGCAAAATTTCAACCGGATCTGGAATATTTTGTACTTTACAAAACTCAATAATTCTACTGGACACATCTGAAACAGTTTCAACATTTTGCACAGATGGTGGTGAAACTTCGGGCACAGTGAGGCTGCTGATGTGGTTACCTTCTATGGTACTTTCTAACAACAATTCCTGGTCTTGAAAAATAAGCACTTCTTCAACATGCATTTCCTGAGAGCTTGCTGTGTTAGTCTGCATGGTCTGTGGAAGAACATTAATATTCAAAATGTCTGTTGTTGGCACATCATTCACTGTGTCAGCTTCCTGACATGTTTCTGTGTGTTTCCTCAGTTCCCGTAGTAAAAAATTCCTCCCACATGTTACACACTTTTCTTCTAAACTTAATTCACCTGACTTCTCATGAGGATTAACTATAGAGGCAGTGGACAGATTTTTTTGGATTGGCCTTATATATATTGTTGCTTGGGGATTAACATTTTTCTGCAGTTCTTTTGCTGACCATGAGCAGTTTATCAAAGTTAATTCTCTGTAGTTCTGGGTGCTTCTCAGTAATTCAAAGCCACCCCCCTCAGCTAATTTTGGAAATCCTACAATTTCCCCATCTTCATTTAATTCTTGCGAAATAAGTTTAGCCGCCAATTCATTTTCATCATGATTTTTTTAAAACAATTTTTTTCTTACCAAGTCCAGCTTTATTGAAGACTTCTTTTTCCAGTGCATTTGGGACACATTTTTGTCCTCTATGGGCCAGACATAAAAAATGCATCGTGATAAACTTGTCTTTTTTGCGCATCTTTTTCCCAGGTTTATCTCGATAATAAGGACTAAACAGGCGCAATCGTTCGCTGCTAGAAGGTTCCGTCATTTTTCCATGCACACGTTTTTTAAATTTATGTCGTAATCCGATTGTTTCAATGCCAAGTCTTTTCAATTCGTCGTCCGATAGCATCTCTATCATGTCAATTGATATGTTTTCCCTTTCGAAATTGGGATACACGCTAGGTATCCCCAGCTCTACCAGACATTCCCGCAGGCCATCCATCTTGACTTTTAAACGTTTTGGCGCGATAATTTCCAAAGGAACACATTCGGAACACAACGACATAATATATAAAGTGGACTTAATGATATAAATTGTGTACTATATATTATATGAAGTGAACTTAATGATATAAATTGTGTACTATATATTATATGAAGTGAACTTAATGATATAAATTCTTTACTACATATTATAAAAAGTGGACGTAATGTTATAAATTCTTTACTACATATTATATAAAGTGGACATGATGCTATAAATTGTGTACTACATATTATATGAAGTGAACTTAATGATATGAATTCTTTACTACATAATATATAAAGTGGACTTAATGATATAAATTGTGTACTACATATTATATGAAGTAAACTTAATGATATAAATTCTTTACCACATATTATAAAAAGTGGATGTAATGATATAAAATCTTTACTACATATTATATAAAGTAGACTTAATATAAAGAATAGACTTAATGTTATAGGCATCAGACTATATAGTATTTTAATTTGACAACATATTATAACTTCTTTACTACATATTATATAAAGTGGACTTGATGATATAAAGGATAAACTTAATGTTATATAAAATTGACACTATGATGCATATTTTTTACTACATATTATGTAAAGCTGACTTAATGATATAAAGGATAGACTTAATGTTATATAAAATTGACACTACGCTGCATATTTTGTACCCTTAAGACAGCTGTGGCGTTCCATACATAACGCTACAGATCCCGTAGAATGCAAATATTGTGCAATTTACGGCGCAAAATTTTCTGCGTACTTTGTGGATGTATTTCGCCACTTTCCAGCATTGGTCAATCAACAACCTATCATCCACTAATTCCATTCTATAACTAACCTGTATATTTTATCTACCTCCTAACCCTTTATTGTCGTCTCTACAGATCAATAAACTCGCTTGCAATATGTTGTGAATTTGTTGTCGGATGGCATAAAATTCACAAAAAGCGAGTTTTAAAAAATTGAAAAATTTATATAACCCGCCTAAACAGTCTAGACGAACTCCAAAAACAGCGTGAACTCCGAAAATGAAGTCTTTGGCTCCATCATGCATTGCGGCAAAATGGCGTCCGATGTAAACAAACAATGGATTGTCGCTCGCTTTCTCCAAATAAACGGCTGCATAATGGCTGTATTTAGTGCATTATTACTTCGTTTTATTTTTTGTTGAATGGATAATTGCATTTATTGAATTATTTTGTGGATATTGACTTATTTATCGCTTCAAACTCTTGCATAATAGTGAATTGGATATACGACATCGAATTCAATTCTGCCGGTAAGAAATATTTTCTTATTTTATTTATTGTCTCCTTGATTTAAATTTTATGTCGTTCCTAAAATAAAGGTGCTTTAAATTTTTTATTGAAGACACCCAACTTGTATTTATTTTAATCAGAAAATGCGCATTTTTCACCACGGAGCAGAGATATTAACATGCTCATTTTTAGAAGACATGTTGTGTCCTTAATATCTAGAAGAGTGGTTTTTAAAGTTATTATATTGATAGATAATAGTTTTAAAAATGTTTTCATAATAATATCTGTTCGTATGTGATAAAAAATCGGTAAATAACTATGGTAAAAACTTACGCGTTCAATTCAGATGTCGTACACAAATTAAAAAACCGTAATGCTAATTTATGTGTAAAATTCAGTCAAGTTTTTAACAGTTACAATACATATTGTCCCATTTTGCATATATATCCCTTTTATTATGCATATTTACTTCTCAAAACGTATCATTTTCTCTGTAATTGATCTGACCTGAAACGTTAACTTTGAAAGTAAATATCTCCTTTTTTGCAAATAAAATCAAAAATCTAACAAATACGATCTCTTCCAACGTCTTTTGTTTAGCATTTCTGAGTACTGGCATAATTGCCATACTTTCCAAAACTTTGCACGGACAGTTTTTGTAGACCCATCATTTTTGCTCAAAAATCGCCATTTTTTGTGTGTGTGCGCATGCGCAGACTCTATTTTCGGAGTCTTTTTCAGTCTCAATTTCTTACTTCCGGAAACGCTGTTTTTGGAGTTCGTCTAGACTGCTAAAAAAAAGGGGGGGGGGGAACAACGTTACATTGAATCTACACTGAGGTTGCTTCCATATTTCTTGGACTAATACAATGTATTGTTTTTAGAGAATTTTAAAGATTTTTTTCCTATATATTCTCATGTAAATGTTTGATCTACTATTTTGGCTCCTTCCTACCCCCTGGGGACATGATTTGAACAGCCTTAAGTTTTACAAAGGATTGTATTTCATATCCTATATTTACGACTCACTGGTGTAATTGAGGATGCATTCATTCTCCAGGTTTCTACTGCATTCAGCAGTTGTTACAAGAGGAAATATGCTCAAATCTTTTGAAATCACATTTACTTGCTAATATTCAGCTAAAACCAAGCTACAAAATCGCTTGTCAAATTTTGAACAGATTTGGGCTGCAGTCTCAGCAAACTTTATCTTGTATATCAACTATCACTTTTAGTTCCATCATTTATAGCTACATGTATAACACACGGTGTATACACCTTACATGTACCAGGCACGCTGTTTTCATTCGAGTTAGTCAACAATCAAAAAACAACAAAAGAATACGGAGTATTGGTTTATTACATGATGATCGTGTTTATCAACCTAAGAATACAGTAACACTCGGGTCATTTACAGAACCGAGAGATAAACAACGTACCAGCAGTTCACTACACTATGACAATTAATTCATTATTGTTAATGACCAAAAATAATTTTCATCAAATTGGCAGTCAATTTCTGCCCAACAAAGAATTTTTTGAAAATCTTTTATAAGAAACTATGACGTCATGTATGACATCATACAACGTCATATCTTTGATGATGTCATGGTGATGATACAGCCAGTACGTGTTTCGAGGTCAACACACAGAAATAAAAACAGAGTTCATGACAATTTAACATTGGATATGCACTAAAGCTCACAAGTATCAGTACAACAAGAGTTACTGTTCTTAGTCACTAAGAAAAAAATCAAAACCATTGCAAATTTAAAATAATAATAAATAAACTGCTACAGCAGTGTTCTCTTTACCATAGATCCCACAATCATAAAATCTGAATGTTTGAAATTTTTTTTTAAAGTGGAATAAAATAAAATTAACTAAATACAAAGAGCACATTTTAAATTCATTTGCAGTCCCTTCACTGAAAACACCGCATTATAATTGCATGTTAAAATTTTTGATGCACTTACATCAAACTTTTGTCTAAAATTCAAAAAGAAAAAATATAATAAAACCAGCTTAAATTCACAGTAAAATGTCACAAAAATCAACGAAAATATTTCATCATTCAGATATAAATTCATGCCCAAAAAAAAGAAAGGGGGGACAAAAACAAAATCAGAAACAAGAGCTATTTAATCTAGCTTAATTTCTTTGTTGCTATAAAACGTGAGGATAATAACATGACATAAAACGCACACAAGACCCCAGAAATGATTCTTCCACGAGTTGAGCACTGTCCTGTAAAATATCTATCAATAATAATTAATCATCTCAAAAAAATGTTTCACCGGGATTAAAGTAATCACCACCGAGGCAGGTCAAAGGTCACCGTGATTTCAATACAAACATTTTATTCCCTTGACTGCCACGGCTTAGATTTTATAAACCACTAACAAAGTCAATTTTCAAGGCAAGCAACTCTATAAATAGATTCATGAAACAGATCTCAAGGTCACTCGGATTCACCATGATTAAAAGTGACAACAAATGTGTTACACTGTCAGCATTGATTTCAAACTATTTACAACACTTAACATTCTTTGGTTGTTGGCTTCCAAATCAAAACAAGAGAAAATAAATGGGTTCAATCGTCAAATGATTTTTTTTAAGTAGAAAAAAAACCTCAATGCCTTTTTTTCCTTATCAAGACCTACATGTACTATTAAGAAATCGAATGAACAAAATGCATTTTCTTTGTAATAATAATTCATTTTTATTTTAAAGATTTTTTTTGGCAGTAGATCAGTAAAGCCTTTTTCCTCTCAATTGAAACCCATAGTATAGCTTTACCCTAATACTGTCTATTAATTCTAGCTTATACTTCAGTTTATGTGTTCAGTACTTGGTTGTGTTCAAATTGTGTCTCCCTGATTTTTGTAACCTGAGCTAATGAAATTGATGGTTTTGCTTCATAACCTTCCACAAACTTACTCAAAACTAGGTGGAGTATATAAATCTTAGCTTTATGGATACCTCTGTTATGCATTAAATAAAATAGATCTTTGAAAATTGGAAAGATTTTAAAATGGTCAGGACACTTCACAAATTCTGTCTGAAAACTGAAAATAATATACAAGAGGAACCCATGATATCTATTACTCAAGGAAACTTTACCTCTTAAAAGAATTTTTTTTAAAAAATCATTACGGAATCTCCGTAATACAAAAATGTGTTGATCAGTAATTTGAACAAAAATTGTATATGATATAATAATTTAAGATGAGAGTGATTCTTCCCCTTGATTCTAGGGCCCCCTTCACATGTTCAGGATGCATCACCTCTGTTCCAAAATATATGATATAGATTGTACAGGTGCTTGTCCATAAAAAAAAATTAGGCATAATCGCACTTGTATCTTCACACAACCGGGAAAGAAGAAAATTCTTTTGAATCTTGTACATGGCTTAGACAAGATTTTTTTTAAATTGTGCTAATGGCTCTTTAGAAAAAAAAATAACTTACATAGAAAGTTCAAACTTTTGTGTTGGTTTCCTCTCCAAGTTTTTAAATTCAGTTTTCTAGATCCCTCTTGCTCGCAGTAAGAAATAATGAACGCTCCCTGAGAAATGTGTGTCGAGCAAAAGGCATCTTGAGGTAGTCATTAGAGGTTACCATGGTAACAGATTAAGAGGTCGCTATGGTTACAACATGGTCTGTGTTAACAGTGCAGAAAAAAGCAATATCATGTTATTACATAAATGTTGTACAATGAAATTCACAGGGCTTGTTTTTTTTCCTTTTACAAAATTATATATTTTTTTGTTCCAACAATATCTGAGGTCAGAACACATAGCATTTAAACCAGAGGACGAACCACTTAAACTAGTACATGGGAGATAAAATGGTGAAAAAAAAAATCAATATTGTGTGAGGGGGAAAAAATGACGTTGGTTTTGGGACACAAGTGACATTGAAACACACTACAATGAATATTTTGTACAAATGAGAGGTTCTTTTCAATAAATGCCTCACCTCATCCCTTTATATAGTCACAACCAGTAGGACCGAATTAATCGCCAATAAAAACCATCAACAATAATTAGTCAATTAGAGGAGCCAAGTCCTTTCACTATTTGTTGCACAGGGACGATATCATTCTGAAAACCTATTTTACCATTTAGTGAAGTTTCCAATCAGCTACTTAACATATATAAATTTTCATTTTCTCTTCTACTCCATTTTAAAGAGAAGATCAATACTTAACAAGAAAAAAAATTAAGAAAATTTAAGAAGTTAAATTGCCTTATCTAACGGGTCAGAAATAAACAAGCCTATACTTATACACCGGATGTATTCATCGCAGATCGTCAAATCTGGACCCAATCTTGTTCAGCTGGATCTGCACCATTAGTACCCTGCACCAACTTAAGCCTCAATTTCATTTTGTCTCCCTACTATGATCCAGTTCTCATTCACGATGTACCCTATTTGTGAAACACCGATGGAATATCCAAGCAAAAAAAATTCAAAATTTGCCATTTAAGATTGAGCCTTCAGGTTTTTTCAGATTTTTTTTACTGCACCCAACTATTAGCTGGATTACAGTACTCAGATTTGAAAAATACTTCGGATTTTGAAAGATTGAAAGCTGATGATCAAAAATACTAGAATATCTTACATGTAGGTTTGATTACAAATTTAACCCCCAACTACAACAGCAAAACTTTCTTTAAAACCAAATTTTGCACCCACTTGCAGAAGAGATTTATCACACAATGCAAAATGTAAAAAAAAAAATGTTTACAATTAAAAAAAATCATCAGATCTCATAAAAAACTTCAATAAAATACAATAAAGTTATGAATTTTGAATTCTCAAACAAAAAGTTAAAATAGCACTTATATCTTTCAATTAGCACTAACTTGTCTTGCCTTATACAGACATTAAAACAGATCTAAGTATTAAAAAAAATCACTATTTCCACGATTGATGAAAAAAATACACATCTTGAAGATAATAAAACATCTATCTGAAGAAAAAAAAGCATATTTCTGAGAATCATTTTCCTTACTTACATCAGAATTTAAAAGCAATGCTTTTTAAATAACATTTCCATATTAATGTAACACAAACAATTCCTGCTTCTACAAATAAGGGACATTACCCAAGAAAAAAAAATACAATAAAAATAATTTACTCACAACTCAGGTTATAGCATCTAAAATATCAATGCCTCTAACAAAACTGGGACCCATTCTGTTTCAAACTGACCCGTGTCAATTTTTTTAATAATTGCTAACAATAATCTACCTTGGTCAAACATTTTTTTTTTGCACTGAAAACTCACAGATCTGTCATTTATACATCCTGTGCCTGTTTTTGACAACAGCCAAAAAGAAATACTCTTGAAAAAATTCTGAACAATTTCTGGCAAATAAGAAAGAGTAAACCAACTCCTAACTTTTAAAATATAACTGACTTTGGCCCAATTCTAACAGAATAAACAGAGATAATCACTTATAAACTACAAAGAACTCCTCTAGGTAACAAATCCTAAACATCAACATTATGAATATGCATGACCAATAATCTACCTATGAAAACAATAAGGGGGTCACTTAATGTATAACTTCATTTAACTTCAGTCTCAGATTGTCCCGTAAAACCGGTGTAAGGAGGGATAGCAATGACAAATAATTTAGCAGAGCAGTGAGGTAAACTTGTAAGATATATCCATCTCTTTTTTTTCTTCAAAAAATAGTACAGGCAAACGCACCAATATAAACTTACAAAAAGAACAAAAGAAAATGCTAGCTAGCCAGGGGCCACCAAAGGGGGGTGAAACAAATATAAATCAAAATATTTCTGACCTGCATTTCACATGTAGAAAATAAAGCAACAAAAAAAAATCCTCCAGCTTTTCCCCCCTTCAGAGCCCCCAAATTACACCCGTATAGAATGAACATAAACAATTAAAAACAAATACATAATTTCACTTCTTCACGAAATGTCAATATCATTTAGCTGCAAATATCCTGCCTGATAATTCAGCTCATTTTGTGAGCCTATTTTTTTTTTTTCAGTGAGAAGTAGAAACAAAAGTCAAACGCTAACATCCACAGTGCAGCGATGATGACTCTTGTCGCTGGGGTAACTCTGTACACCCCTGGGGGGTCTCCGATTCAGATCCCTCCTCTGACCGATAAGATTACTTTCCTGAGCTGAGGTTGGTTTTTTATACTTCACTTGGGGACTTTGGAGGTTGGTAAATGAGGGGTTGTAGCAGTCACTGTCCGGCAGGTCCCTTATTTCACTCTCTGGAGATGACCGCCCGTCATTTTGGCCCTCTTCAGCCATTTGCCCATGCTCTCTTCCCTGATGTAGCTTGTGAGGTTTTGATGAGTGTGAGGGAACCATCCCTCCTCCCTCCACTCTTTCCTGTGAGGTAGCTGGCTTACTGTGAACTCCCCTGAGTGAGGGATGGGGAGGGGACCGACCCTCCCTTTGACCCGTTTTAGCTGCGGCTGTTCGGTACGAGGTATTTTTAGTAAAACTGTCCATTGACTGTGGGCTGACTTCACTGCAGACCTGCTGTGAGTCTGCTGTGTTTGGAGGTAGATTTTGTATGGAACCATCTTGGTCATTTAAACTCTTATTGCTTTCTTCCGTGTCCTCTAGACTCTTGTCTATTCCATCCAGCAAGGAATCTCGATCTGGTGCTTTGTCTAGAGGCGTGGCATCCTCTGACAGATGACTGACATCACTTCCAGACAACATGGCTGCAATCAGACCCCTCCTTTCCTACACAAAACAAAAGATCAATATAAGACATACATAATCAGGTATCTTTAACAATTAAAAACATATATTTTATGTCACTACAGTAAAAGTTGTCTTATCGGACACCTGTGCAATCTGTTTCAGTGATCTGAACAATATAACACCCTGTCTATTCTGACACAAAAACTGTGTCCCAGTGTGTGTCAGATAAGACAAGTTTCACTATATAAATGTAAGCGAATGCACTATTGGTAAATGACAATAAAAATTAATCAAACTATAGCTCTCTTCCTTGTGTATCACATTTTTTATCTCATTTAACATCTGCAATATTGTTAGAATATTATTTTTAGTTCAAAGAAATCTACCTCCATGTTCCCCGAATTGGCATACCCCACAAACGTTGACATATGTCCATTAGGGATATGTCCATTCTTCATGCCATTCTTAAATGGCACATATCCGTTGACCCGCGACCCATTCGGGGTCACAATGATATTCCCACTGCCACATCCCTACAAAAAGAGTGGATAATTTATTTTTATTTAGGGAAGAGTATTTTTCTAAATCTAGTGCTAATCCAAAACTGCATTGTAGCTACCAAGGTACAGTAAAACATGTTTATGGTGAACACGCTTATAATGAATTGACCCTTACAGCTAGGTGATTTTCATTCCTGTGCCTTAAAAAAAATATATTGTGAACTTAACGGCTGTAATAAATTACGTTTATAACGAAGCAAAATCCCCCCCCCCCCCCCCCCCCCGGCACTCGTTATAAGCGTATTTTCCTGTATTATCCTATAAAGTAAACAAAAGCAGTTTTGAATTCACCCCTTAACAATTCCACTAAGAGAAAGTGAGAACAATATTTCCTGGAAGACTTCAACAACATTCTCCTTGCTCCTGTAGATACCTACCTTGGAATCTGAGTGCTCGTTTTCACCGGGTAAAGAGCTCAACATTGGTGTACACGTCTCCAGCTGATACTCGTTCAGCCCCGCCCCTACAGCGTGTCCATTGCCCCGCCCACCCACATGTCCGTTACTGTGTAGATAGACAGGCTGGGTGATGTGGGATTGAGGAGACGCAAAACACCTGTAAAAGAAAAATTATTCATGACTTTGAATCAATAACCAATATTATCCTATTAGTGGAATTTTTAGCAAGAGGCAAATTTTGCGATTTGTTCTTATAAAATGATATATGATTTTAACAAGAGGTAATTCTAGCGGTTTTTTTCTAGTGACTTTTCCTCATATTCAGAATAAATTATTAGCAATATTCAATTTTAACTACCTCAACACACTCGCTAATAATGCCAAAACTGAATCCTCGCTAAAAATTCTGCTTATACGGTAATGTACTGGGTCCATGTACAACAACAAGAACATCTTGCTTACTGTATATTTAATTCGTCTTCTTTTTACCACAATTTATAATCCATCCACCTTACAATACAGCCCTTCACTGTTCAATTACTTCAAACATTACATTTACATATTTATAATGTTTACATGAACCATTCTTAATGCTGTTTAGAAGTTGTCTCCCTTTCTCTAAGATTCATAGAAATACTGAATTTCAAAGGCTTCTGATTATTCACTGATGACATGATTTTAAAACATATTTATCTATTTACCAAAAAGAGGAAACAGCTTATGCTATTGATATGTAGCTTTATGTCCAAGTACACATAACGATATACATCTCCAAAGTGAATTGTGACAAACTTCTTTAGGGCTTTACAATTACTACACTCCTTAGCTTACTTACTTGTTCCTGAACAGTATAATGAGGATGCAGATAATGACACAGGCAACACCAATACTGATCCCCAGAATTATCCCCAATTTCTGATCCTCCTGTGGCGCCACTTCACGGGGCTCTGTAATATCCAGAATTACATTAGCACAACTATATCTACAGATAAATAGATTTTTAACAAAACTAATTTACTTTCACAAAAAATAATTTTTTTTCTTTGTTAACAATATACCACAGGAATATTGCATGCTTTATGAAATAAGGGCATCTACAAGAACTATTTGTGAAGATCAGATTTCAATTTTATTCATTTTTTTTTCATTCAAATGTTTTGGATTATGCTTCAAGGCCAAGCATCAGTTTTTTTTTCATGGTTTCTGATTGGTTCAACTTACCTGTTGTTCTTATTTTGGAGATTTCCATTGGGTCAGTGGGCGGGCCTGGACCAGCATTTGTACACGCCTTCAATTTGATTCTGTACAATCCATTCTGGAGTTGTTCAATAGTGGCTGATGTTAAAGATCCTAAAAAGCAAACAGGATCAATTTGTTCAAGCTGTCTTGTGCAAATATATAGTGTACATGTATAAACAAGCATTCTGAGAGTACTGCATAAGCAATACTAGTCCCCTACAAACAAGCATAATATGGTTTCCCTTAAAAATCAAAAAGGCTGCAATTCTGTCAAAAAATCATTCAAGTGAAGTTGTCACTCATCAATGTACACTCATGTACCGAAAATCAGCTCATTATCTGCAAGCGTTTATGGAAAAACAAAGTGGGACAGACTGACAGACAGACTAGCAGACCAATGATGGACAGGGGAGGAGGACACCTACAGTCCCCTCTGGTTTCAGCCATGAGAATATTTCATTGAGAGAACCACAAGAACAATCAGAACATCCACATTACATCTGTCACCCGCCAGTGTATTTTTTTTTTTTAAATAAAAGTGAAACAGATGATGAACAAATTGATCCCTATGTGTTTGCGATACTCTCCTGGCAACACCGAACTCAACACAGGCAGGCTGAATCAATTCTACAGGCAAAACTCGACAGAAAGATGCGCTTACCATTGACACTTTTGATTTCCCAGGGGCTGGACATATCTTGTGAGGTCAGGATCTGATACATGACGAGGTAGGTTGTGATGTTCCCGTTGGGCTGTGCCGGCGGTTTCCAAGTGATCAAGATACGCCTCTCTTTCACCTGGCCCTGAAGCTCACGGGGCTGGGAGGGAACTGAAATTTTACAAAGGAACATGTTATAATACTACAAAATGTGGGAAATATTTCTATACTAAAATGTATCGGTGGCGCAGATTTAATAAAAGGGGGGTTACTCCCACCATCTTTCATTAAGGAACTTCTAAGCACTGCACACATAAAAATTCTTATTCCATGGCAGTTTTATTCAGTAAGAATGTTATGCCCTTTGATTTACAGAGATACTACTAGCATTCCAAAGTGTTTCATTAACAGATCAATGCTCTGGAAATTAAATCAATGCAATGAATATTTTGAATAGTTTAGAAAAAGATAGGGGTGAAACGGTACACTTCCTTCGCGGTTCGATACGTATCGTTTAATTTTGTCTCGGTACGGTTATTTTCGGTACGATACATTTTGATAGAAGGAAACAAATTCAACCTTGTTTTATGCTTTCTTTTTCTAAATCTAGTCACTTCATTTACAAATTTTTATTTGCAAATTGACTAGAAGAAATTAATCAGAATTATTTGACTGTCAAAAATTATTTTACAAACTATTAATCATCAAAAATTTACGTTTTCTAATATACTTATTTATCCTGAGTAACGTGTTTTACCTTATGCCAAACCCAACTGAATAAAGATCCCGACCGAAAAATGAACCGAACCGAAAATTAGAGATTTTGCACCATGTATCAAACTGAGAAAAAATACCGCCGTGAATCGATACTGCGGTGAACTGTTTCACTCCTAGAAAATGAGCAATGCAATGTCTTTTGAGAACATTAAGTCCTGAAACATTGATTACATTAAATAATATTTATAATGTGTGACTAACTTAGCAAAACAATCTGATGAGCTTTTGTACGCCTAACTTCAATATTGGATGGTCCCTCCCCAAGAATTTCAACATTCTAAATGAGGGAGTTCATCCCATCCCTCATAAAGTTTCTACTTCCATTCAAATACAGATGGTGCCATCCCATAAATTTATATCTTCCTACAACCTCAATGGAGTCTTTACCTCCCTCCAGAGTGAGATTGACAGTCGGTTGGCTCCACCTCCCAATAACTCCGCCCACAATTTTCCTGACAACACACTGGTACGAAGTGTAGGGTTTTAGATGGGAAATCCACAAGGAGGTATCAGACCTGTGAAATGGAGACAGTTATTTTTACGAGTTGAAAAAAGAAATAAGAGTATCAAAGGAAGAGAATGCATGCTAACACGAATTTTAAGTCATGACATAAGAATTATCTGCTTAATGATAAATTGTTGGAAAAAGTTTCCATATTTTCCCTTACGTCTTCACAATGGCTACTTTATTATATGCCTGGTCCTTCATAAACATGGCAGGGCGGTATCCCACTTCATACTCCACTCCCCTGCCCTGGTCCCCAGGGTGAGGGGTCCAGACCAGTAACATGGCGGTGGAGGTTCGATTAACGACCCTCAGATTCTGAGGAGGTTCCTCGAGGGGATCTTGAGAGGTGACATACTCCTTTATGATTGGGTCTGAGGACCCATGCTTGCTGTTGGCCACCAGGGAGAACTGGTATGTGGTCTTGTTCTCTGAAAACAAGGAAAACCAAGACATTATTAAATTAAATAAAACTTCAACATTTAGTGCCCTCATCGGGTTGTCCCTAAGACCTGGAGGCTGGGGAATTTCCCTGCCTATAATGATGTAATCCTCCAGTTATTCTGGTACTCCCCTTCAGCCCCCTCTCAGGGAAGGAACTTCAGACCCCCTTCTACTTTTTTAATGTCTCCTGCAATTTCAAATCTTAGGGACAACCCTGCCTGATTACCATCTAGTGTTGGAATGATATAAACTGTAATTCTTACTCAGGTTTTTCACTTGGAACCAGGACAGAGAGGGATCTGTGATCTCGTGTGTTCGAGATCCTGTAGGGGTTCCTTCCAAACTTGAGACGGTCAGCGTGTATCCTGTGACTGGCTCCTCCCCCATGGAGTGTTGCCAAGTGACATTGACCGAGTTCGCCGAGATCTTCTTCACCAAGATGTTTGATGGTGGATCTGGCATCGTGTCATTCACTGAGGCTTAAAATAAACAAATTTGGATCTTTGTAGACAAGGTGGATAAGTTCATTTAAACAGATTTTCTAATGGCACTATAAAACTCCAAATTAAGAATACATTAATTAAAATGTTTAATAATTTACATAGCCACTTCAAAGAATTTTCTCTCTAACACACCTGAGCTTTGATTATGATTATCAACAAATAATGAGATTTAGCCACACAATTAGAAACTGCATTTTTTTAGATTGTAGATTTTGTCACATTATTAATGTTTAAATTATTTCTCATAACAGACTGTTCCTTTTACCTCCCCCTACACGAGTCCTTACCATTAGTGTGGCCGGCTGTTCTGTACTCCACCCATTGGCTGTCACTAGGGAGATCAGGGTAACCCATTGCTGTTCCTGCCATCACCCGGATCTTGTACAATGTATTGGGTTTTAAGCCTAAAACATACATGTATTAATTAACATCAACAATATATATATATAAAGGGTTTATGAAATAGGGTCATATCTCATTAACATGATTAATGGTTACAAATTTTAAATTTAGAATTGAAATGGAATGTCAAAGTTTACCTGAGATGAGATAGGATCTGGCGGTTCCGGACACCACCTTGGTGACCTTGCGCTGGTCCGAGGTCCTCATGTACTCGATCAGGTGACTGGTGATGACCCCCTTCCTGTCCTCCAGGGGGAGTTCGTCCCACTCTATGTTGATGCTGTTTGGGGTGGTACTAGCTACAGAAATCACTGGGGCTCTACTGGGTTCTGGAAAACAATCGAAGATTTTGTGATATCTAAAAAATATTTGCTGATCTTCAAATCCCTTAGCCTGGTGGGTTTAAAGGCCATTTATCTATTCTACTACAAGACCCTCCCCCAACTTGTGACTTGGTGTACTAACTTCTGGATAAGTTGCAGATAACCTCTGACTTGGCATACATACTATTTGGATGAGTTTTAATAGTGATAACTTTTACTTTGTTTATCAACTGTCTAGATTATGTTGAAACTGTGATGTTATGTGACTTGGTATACTGTTTGGATGAGTTGCTGGATGACTTGTAAAATGTGTTACTTAGTATCTGGATGAGTCATGACTTGGTATACTTACTGTCTGGATAAGTTGTGACTTGGTATACTTACTGTCTGGATGACTTGTGACTTGGTATACTTACTGTCTGGATGAGCTATGACTTGGTATAATTACTGTCTGGATGACTTGTGACTTGGTATACTTACTGTCTGGATGAGCTATGACTTGCTATTATTACTGTCTGGATGACTTGTGACTTGGTATACTTACTGTCTGGATGAGTTGTGACTCTGACGACTTGTGACTTGGTATACTTACTGTCTGGATGAGTTGTGACTTTGACGACTTGTGACTTGGTATACTTACTGTCTGGATGAGTTGTGACTTTGACGACTTGTGACTTGGTATACTTACTGTCTGGATGAGTTGTGACTTTGACGACTTGTGACTTGGTATACTTACTGTCTGGATGAGTTGTGACTTTGACGACTTGTGACTTGGTATACTTACTGTCTGGATGAGTTGTGACTTTGACGACTTGTGACTTGGTATACTTACTGTCTGGATGAGTTGTGACTCTGACGACTCGTGACTTGGGCCCAGGCCCACTGTTGATGTATCCCCTGATGTATATGGAGTAATTAGTGTATGGTTTCAGCCCCTCTATCTTGGCTGACGTTCCACTGTTCACCACAATACTTTGAATCTGTTTATCTAAATTAAGAATGATTACATAGTGTATAGGGTTAAAGTCCATTTATTCTCATACAGCTTACATAAAATAATAGGGAAGGCCTAAATTGTCACTTGCAAGAATTTTTGTCATGAATCTTAAAATGACTTTGACAAGAGAATATTGATGCATATGTGATGCATATGTTCTAATGACACAACTGCAAAAGAAAGTTATTGTGAGAGTTTTACTTTTAAAACAATTTAGTTTTACTAAGTATTTCAAATGGTAATCAAAACAGGCTTCCACAAACTACACTTTTCATATTTTTTTAAGATCAGTTGTAAATATTTCATTAGGGAATAAATAAATTCACTTCTTTATCAGAGTTTGCTCCCTTATCAAACGGACACTCTGGTCTTGAAAAATCTCACAATATAGAAGAGGCCTTACTTGGATTATTGGACTCTGCTATATCTACAGTATAGGCCAGGATGGGTTCCGTTAATGAACGCGAGTGATTCCAGTAAACATTAATGGTGTTCTGATCGATCGCGAAGGCCGACACATTCCTGGGCAGATCAGGAGCTCCAACTAAAAGAAAAAAACAGAGGAAAACATTTTTAAGATTTTCCCTCCATGAACTCATTATCACAACACGTAGTAATCGTTATCTGCATCTTACACATGTCATTTTTTTTTTTTTACACAGTAACAAGTACATAAAGTACACATATATTAATTTTCTACATTTTATTACACAAAGTCTTTTTTCTTTTAAATTATATTTTCAATGTGTTTAATTAAACCTACAAACTCCTTTTCATTAGGGGTGTCAACAAATAGTCGACTATTCGACTATCAGTCCAATGGACCGATTATAAAATTAATATTCTTTTACAAGATCTAGATCAAGATTTAGTAAATAACTTTAGACTGTCTTTTTGGTGATAGATCCATTATTACGTCATAATCAATTTAAACTTTATTTTTCCCATACTTTACGGTAAGGGTGCAACGATAAACCGTTTGACGGTATATCGAGGTATATTTTTCCACGGTTCAATTCACGATACGCTAAACTGATATCGCGGTTCGGTTCAATCGGTCCAGAATTATCCGAATCGTCCGTTTTGTTTCCTTTTTTACAATTTCAAAATGGCTTCCGCACAAAACGTGAGGTCGCCGATAACGCATTAACGGAAGTTAAACTCATCTCCAGCATCTTACAGACCTCAGATTTAACACGGAGAAGGACTTAATGTGATTATAAGTTATAGATGTTAAGACTAATGATAAACCCTTTAGATCTAAACGTATTCTTTGGTAATACACGATATTTCATCACCTGTGTATTTCGATGAAAATTCACTGTCTTGTTGACTAAAACGTGTTAACATGAGAATATGACAACTCCTTTTTGATTCCAATTTAAAAGGAAGATTATTAGGAAAGGTCCCCGTAGTTCCCTGTAAATGTTCATCATTGGTTTAGAAAATTGTCAGAACTCAAAGATCTACCTAACAATCCAATTCAGGTTAACAAAATTTTATTTTAATCATTATTAGAAAAATATGAACATTTATATAACCCTGTCAAGGTTTAAAAAAGAATATGATACAAACTTGAAAGACTTTTATACCTTGTCATGTATCGTGATACGTATCGTACTGTGAACTGAATACCGTGATACGTATCGTATCGTGAGGTTAGTGTATCGTTGCACCCCTACTTTACGGCTCTAATAGAATTGTGTAGAAAATAAATTACTTTCATGGAATTCAATTTAAAATCATGTGAAAATTAATACTGATACCTATATTCAATTTGATTTTATTTTAAAGAAGAGGCTAAGAACACACAAATTACCGTTTTCTGAGAGACTGTAGGCAATCTGGATACCTTTCATTTGTCTGATATGGAAAAAAAACTCCAACATTCGTGATTGGTTTTCTTAATTTTTCATTGAAAATGACAGTTTAAAATATGATTTTTCGTCTTGTTTATCTACAAATTATTCCCTGATACACCTTATTTGACCAAGCTATAGTTATAAAGCATCATTAAAGGAATTTATTTCTCAAATTTGAGAAATCTGTAGGCTCCTTTCATTTACTAGATCTTGACCTCAAAGACATTTTGATAGTTGGTACAAAAAGTAAATTCAAATATTTAACATTATCACAGACATCATGTGTCCCCCCCCCCCCCCCCCCCAAAATCATTTTAATAAGCTTTAGAAAATACATTGTATTGTCATTTTTTTAAGCTTCCTAAAAACCGACTTTACAGACCAATTTATGAACATGATTGACGGGGAAATCATACATTTTGGAGAAATTAGCAGTCTATATTTAGTAAATATAAACACACTATCCACATTTTAGGTCCATGTGAACATCTGTGTGTAACATATGATGTTAATTTTTAATACATGTAAATTTAAGAAAAGGTGTTTGGGGTTAAATATGTCATGTACCAGTGAAGTTTGAAATAAAATTTTAGTTTCCAAAAAAGTTATTAATTAGACTATCGTTGGAATAATGCAATCGAATATTCGACTAAAGAAAATAGACATTTTGACATCCCTACTTTTTATGCTTATATTTAACACTATATTAAATACTGACCAACAGAATAAATGTCCAGTCTGGCTACAGCTGTGTCGTACCCGAGACTGTTCTCCCCCACACATTGGTAATACCCAGAATCTGTCAGCTCAGGGTTCACCACTACCAACTCGTTTTTGGGCTTCACCACCTGTAAGGTAACATCAGAATCTACATTTATGAACTACATCCAATAACAATTCTCTACAGTACACCTTTAACTACACTATCAAGAACTCCTTAATTTAGAATTGCAAAATCTTTTGCTTTAGCAGGAAAGTAGGATTTTTTTCATGCAAGCTACTTAAATTTAATGCACATCTAAGGCCACCTTCTTTTATTAGTTGTTCTTTTTTCAAGACTTAATTTTATTTTGCAAAATTCAAATCAGTAGGTTGGTAAATAAATAACGAGCTTCATGAAATATGCCTACGTGACAAGTCTCTGTGATTTACATCCCAATAACACTCACCAAACTAAAAAATATTCCTTAAATGATAGTAAAATTCTGTTTTAACCTTGAAACCATGGAAACAAAACTCAAAAAAAATTTACCCTCATTTTTACTTACACTGTACTTTCCCCCCTCTTTGAGTAGCTGACCGTTGAAATACCACTTCACATTTGGCTTAGGATATCCACCAAATTCACAAGAAAAACGAGATGTTCGGGTCTCAGGATATTTAAAATTACTTGGTTTTGTCACAACTACTGGTTTTGCTTTAAAAAGAAGGAAAAAAAGTACATTATCATAACATATTATAACAGAAAGAACTCTGTGTGTAAATGCAGCAATGTCACAGCTTTAAAGCATGTACTTAATGCAAATCTGAAGTCACTTATTCAAAGACAGCTTGTGCTTGAGATATACTGTTGAAATGAATAAACTGTAAAAGCCTAGTCATATCTTATACTATGTTTTACAATAAGAGTACAATATTTTCATTCCTGTACCAATTTTGGTGGTGGTGGTGGTGGTGGTGGTGGGGGGTTAACGTTTAACAGTATGAAGAGACCCTTGAATTTATGCCCTTTACAAAACGTAAAAATTTCAAACTACAGCATCATCTATGTATATACGCTTCCTTGAACTAATATTTTTTTCTTCAAACTTCAAACAATAACATCAGTGATTTTACCATCTTCACAATGTCAAGGTTTTGTGATAACATTCCTCTACACAAACTCTTGACAAAAGTCTGGCTTGTGTTTACACATAATGCAATGATTAATTATAAACCAACTAATCCAACTAATGAGAAATATCTCTTTCAAATGCATCGTTATCAAGTTGCTCAAAGCCATCGCACATGTCCTGTGTTTGTAAGAAGAATTTTCCAAAAATTAATCTGTAATATTTTATATTTTAGGTAACTAGTCACAAATCCTACAATATTTGCACTTTCCATTTTAAAGACAAGTCATATTTGTTTATAAAATTTAGCTACTGTTTTAGTGTTGTACTGATAATCAGAAAACATCGATTGTCGATAAAAAAAAATGCTACCGATTCCGATGATCGATTATAATTTTTCACAATCGATCATCGGAAACATACTTGTAATACAACACATTCCGGAATTATCCATTTCTGGTTTAAAATTTATTTCTTCTTAGTGAAAGAAAATGGCGTCTGCATCTGAAACTAGCCAACTAGCACGAAGCAGAGGTGATTAAGAACCGAAAGGTGCATAGATAGAGCCTAAAAAAATTATGTTTGTTTCCTATAACCCGACTGACCCATTCGTTTACCCCCGGTGGATTTTTTTCCTGCCAAATCTGTCAGCTGAGTCTTTTTATTCTAAAAAATATTAATTGTATCTTTTATTTGAGATATAAAATATGCAACTTAGTCAACATTTACCTTAAATATAAAGAGTAATCAATTCCCTCCACAACTTTTTTGAAGTTCGTTTTCTGCCGCTAGGCAGCCATGTTGGGTGTCAACTGTAAATATTACACCTGGATAATTCAGTCCCGGTTTGTTTGACCCCATTATTCATAAGCAAAAAAAAAAAAAAATCCTGACCTACCGACCCTTGATTTTTTGGGAATGTTACAGGAAACAAACAAACATATTTTATTTTAAGCCTAGAAAGTGTAAAAGAAGCAAAACAACAAAGAAAATAATTTATTATATATTTTATATATTCATGGTAAAGAAATAATATGAAAAAATTGTAATTATAGTCTGTTTTTTGTATACAAAACTATGAAATCCGATCATAATCGGTAAAATCGCATCGGAAGCAGTAACCGATTTCAACCGATGATCAATTATGAAAATTAACCGATGTCCCATCACTAAACAGTATCCGATTGGTTCCCAGTCATTGATGGGAACAAATGAAACAGTAGCTTTCCAGCCCACCTTTTAAATCGTGGCTTTTGTCAAGGGTTTGTCAAGGGTTTGTAAAGAGGAACGATATCACAAAACCTTGACATTGTGAAGATAGGGGCATCAGTGATTTAACAGTATTAGACAGTGAGTTGTAGTTGGGGGACTTACTCATGACTTCTAGTCCCGCCTCTGCTGACTTGGTGGGGTACCCTGCACTAGTAGCTGAGCAGACATATACCCCCGAATCATCTACATCTACGTCAAACAGCTTAAGGTTGTCCCCCACCGCTTCCGAGTGACGGTCACGAAGGGGTTTCCCATCTAAAAATAGAAGATCCACATTGAAAGAAAGATTTGTATTTGTGCATTTAGTACTGACAAAACAAACAAATTACAAACAAGTATAACCATTTGCAAGCTTTCTTGACAAATTCATGTTCTGTGATCTCACTGTGCAGCCTAAAATTGATACAGTTGAACTTTGGTATCTCGAACACTGATATCTCAAATACCATGGATATGTTGAAGTGATTTGGAAGTCCCAACCACTTATTCTTTAAGTATTTTACCCTCGATATCTCAAATCCTTGGATATCTTTAAGTTTTTTCACTGTCCCATTTGAGTTCGAGATAACAAGGCCTGACTGTATTTTGTGTATTCTAGAATTGTCCTTTTGTAAAAAAAGACATTTTTTGATAATTATTTGGACTTAACAGTGACAATTTAATTTCTATAAAATAATGCCTGTTTGTTTGCAGCCTGTGTGTGTGTGCGTGTATGTGGGTGTGTGTGTGTGGAGGGATAGGGTGGGATAGGAAAGAAGGGAGGCTACTTCCTGATCCTAAACACTGACCTTTCCTTGCCCACGTGACCTGTGGTTTGGGGTTACCATCAGCCAGACACTCCAGGATGACAGACTTCCCTTTCTCTACTGAGGTAATTCTTGGAGGGGAAGCCAAAATGGTGACTTCCCGTCTTCCTGAGGCTATAAATAGAAAAAGAAATTCCAGAAAATTATTTTCAAAAAGTGTTTGGATTCCCATAATTACTGCAATTTCTTAAATTTACTGCAAGTTCTCAAACTGTTGCAGTAGCTAGGGTATCAAAACCAAATTACTGCAACTTTTCAGACTTGTTTTACTCTCTTTAAAGAGTCATGGACATAGATTTAAAAAATTTATAATCTTCAAAATTTTCTTTAGAATTCCATGACTTACACATTGCAAGAGGGTTTCAAGTTCGTATGATTAAAAATACATGTTTAGAAACCTCTTTTATCTAAAAATTATAATAACTTAGAGTGTGTTTGATTGTCATAATCCTTGTACTTTCATAAACTAAGATTTATCATTATTATTCAAGGAAAGTGGAAAATCTGAGGTGAATAAAAAAAGATATTAAAACTATTATAATCAATAAATATGAGAAGCAAAACCAATTTGCCAATGTTGTCAGTTTGTGTTCCGTGATGTGTGCAGAGTTATTAGCAAATCGAACACACCTGGTAAAATGTAAAAATTAACAATAACAGAGCTGGTGCCAAATGATTACAAACAAAGGAGTTTGGTGTTTGGTAATGAAGAATGCTGTTGTCATTAAATAAAAATAGAAATTCAAACTGAAAACAAAACAGCAATGCAAGTGTATCCATGCCCCTTTAAAACTGGTATAAATGTTCATTTGCATGCAAGAACTAAGGATTTCAAAACCTCTCTTTTACTCTTATTATACAACAGCTCCCTTTTTCTTCTAATAATTTTAATCTTGATTTGCATTCCAGGCAAGACACAAACAATACCAAAATTGCAACCTTCCCTCCTAGAGTAGATTACTGGTATAACCTTTCCCCGAAAGTAGTTTACCACTATAACTTTTCCCCTAAATATGCTGCCATCACATCTTTTAATCTGATGTGGAGTCCACTGATAAGCATTCTGCCTTTCATTTCTTCATAGATACTTTCACCTTGACCTACCTGGCGTGACCCTGAGACTAGCTGCATTGCTGCCCTTCCACGGCAGACTTTCCACTTGATCTGGCAGTTTATGGAGCTCCCCCTGGGTAGCAGTACATCTGTACTCCCCGGCATCATCATAGTTTACGCCCAGGATCTGGAGCGTTCCCGATGGCAACATGATGTGTCTAAAAATAGAAACACAAATTTTTAGTCAGAGAGTTCGAAACAAAGTTATGATGTGTGCTTTATAAATAGCAATGATATATTAAATGTCAAAGACTTTGGAGTGTTCTCAATTAGTATAAATCTAGACGATTTCTGTTCGTTGAAAAAGAGAAACAGAAACATTTCAGTTGAGGATCTTCCGAATTTCCAACTGTAAAAGATGTGTCCAAAATAAAGATATTCGTCAAAATGTCTGGAATATAGAGTTCTCAACAGTAATGATGTCTAAAAATGGCAACATGATAAGGATTATTAGGCCAGGCTCCTACCCTTTACATCATGGATCCACTTAATTACAAAATGTCAAAAGAATATGAAGAGAAGGATATTTAGTAAATGTAGAATGCCTACATATTTCTATCGTTGTAACTTTGAAATTGTCTTCCCATAAGAAAATCAATTTTTAATTTGCGAAAATTAATATCAATACAGACTTTTATTTTTGAAGAATAAACATCAGGAAAAAGGGTTTTTACATTCAGTTTTATTGGGAAAAGCCCAAAACTAGTTTTTTTTATAATTTTTATAATGTTGGATTACTGTAAACCAAATATTTGAGAGTTAGGAGAGCCTCTTTAACTCGCGAATATTAATCACTGCGAACCATTTATTTTGCTTTCTTTTTCTAATTAATATTTCCTCAGTCGCGAAAATTAATCATCACGTATTGATTTCAAACTGAAGAATCGCGAATAAAAGATGACGCAAATAATAGTTGGTTTACATTACATCCATCATCAATGATCATGTAATAATAAAATTATATCATGTATATATATATAATTCTAAGGCATTTACAATATAAACATGATGAACAAAAAGTCCTCTGTACTCTTTGATTGCAAGAAAAGTATATTTCCAGTCATTTGGGTACAAGATATAAGATATCAGATACAAGATATAATAACGAACTTTATTTATATAAACAAAATTGATTCTAGGAATTATTGGTATAAATATATAGAAGACTTGTCATGCTTATCAAACCTCAAAAACAATAATTATATGGATTCTGTTTCTAAGTCTAGAAAAAGCATAAAAGAAAACAAGTAGGGGGTATAGTCATTTCTATAATAATTACTCCACAATGGCCAAGTCTTCCAAATCAATGGCGGAGAAACTCGGAAAGAATTCCCTTTATTAATCCTCTCTCTCATACTGAGCAGATATTGCCATGATTACAGAAGAGAAAACAAAGAGACATTAAATCAATACACAGAATATCTGTGTCACCAGTGCTACTCTCCGAGCAGAACTGAACACTAATTAATATTTTATTAACTTTATAATTTTTAAATCCTGGCTCGGAATCACTGATTGATTCGCCAAATTCCCATATTGCTGGTTTCCAATTTCTGTTGATGATTATAAACTTGCTTTTATGATTTTTTTTTTCATCCTTGGTGCTTTTGCAATAACATTCATTTCTAATTTATTCTTACTTCAATTAAGCTCCCCCCCCCCCCCCCGAAGATATATTACTGTATTATCCCCCCCCCCCCCCAAATCTCTGCATTAATTCACATTTCAATCTGAGTCTCAGTACAAACTAGTAGCTTATATTTTCTTATAATTTGCTGTTCATTTCAATCAAAGTGTGTGTTTGTCTAAAGCCTGAAGTTTTTTGTGCAACTACTTTTATTAAGCATTAAATACACTTATCTTGGCTTTCAAAACATGATTTAATAAATCAAGGTAATAAGAATTCTTTTTTAAATTTATTTTATAAATATCTGCACATATATTCAACAGTGATGTACATTATAAATTTAAGCAGATAAAGTTAAAAAAAAAATTGTAAATTATCCAAAGATAAAAAAAAACAACTATTTTTGCCTTTAAAGCACCGATGTGTAAAAGTTACAATTGCTAAACAAGAAAATATATGCAAATGCACAACAGTAATCCTACCTTGTAGTGTACAGTAAGTAAATGTACACGTACATGTTGGTCTGTGAAACCTCTATATTACTTACTGTGGAATCATTATTGTTCGTGGGGGATCAATGTCGTGGATTTCGTGGGTCACCCTTACCCACGAATTTACATCCCCACGAACAGTTTTTTTGTCAACGTACTTATTAACTGAATCTGCCAAATAAACGAGCTGCCCACGAAATTACATCCCCACGAACCAATAAAATTTAGCTTGCCCACGAACATTGACCTCCACGAATTTAAATGATTCCACAGTATACGTCAAATTAAGCTTCAGTTAACGCTACTGCTAAAAATTTCTGCTGCTGATTGGTCATGTTGATTGTCGGTATTATTCAAACTCAGATTTTGCAGGGGAAAAAATTCTATCGGCTGCAATTTGAATGGATTGATTCGGCTTCAGAAAACGTTTTTTTTTAGGCCTTAATCAAATCATCATTATAAATATATGTATATCACCATTGTATCTCAGGAAATAGTAGAGGTTGTAAAAAAAACAAACAACTGATCAAGCAAAAAAAGTCCTCTGGCCCATATAATTACCTTTTTCATAAGACAATTTAAAAAATAAAAATGTCAAACTAAAAAATAAAGATTTGTCCAAAAACTCTTGTATTTCATCTTGCCACACATTAATTAAAAAAAAAAAAATTGAAACCAGACAAACGACCAGGAAATATCAATAATCATAAGATAGGTACATAACCTTGGAGCACTGCTGAAATGACCTTGACCTCACATTCATTTTGTCCTGCCCCTTTGAATCATTGTGAAGATGGTACATCAAATTTGTCCAGCAGCTAGAATTTTTCTAAGTCAAAGGGGCATAACTCTTGTCAAAAATTGCTCGATCGTACCCAAAACAAAACTTGACCTAGATATTCTTATGATAAATCTGTATACCAAATTTCATTTCAGTATGTGTAACCTCTGCGAAGAAAATGAACGGAAACTGCAAATAATTAGAATTTTTCAAAGTCCAAGGGGTATAACTCTGTCAAAAATTGCTTGATCGTACCCAAAACAAGTCTTGACCAAGATATTCTTATGATAAATCTGTATACCAAATTTCATTTCAGCATGTGCAACCCCTGTGAAGACTAGAAATATGTCCATAGGACATGAATGCCCCGCCAAGGGTATATTAGTAATGCAACATTTTAACACAAATTGAGAAAAGTGAGGTCAAGGTCAAAGGAAAGGTCAAGGTCAAAAAATATTGCTGCAGTTGAATAGCTTACATCAGTATGTATCAGCATATGACGTTTGATTCAGAAACTAATTTAAGAAAAGTGAGGTCAAGATCAAAGGAAAGGTCAAGATCAAAAAATGTTGATGTAGTTGAAAAGGTTACATCAGTATGTATTAGCATATGAAGTTTGATGAAAATATTATGAATGGTTTCTTTAAAACTTAGCTAAACACTAATTTAAGAAAAGTGAGGTCAAGGTCAAAGGAAAGGTCAAGGTCAAAAAATATTGATGCAGTTGAATAGCTCTCATCAGTATGTATCAGCATATGAAGTTTGACACTAATTTAAGAAAAGTGAGGTCAAGGTCAAAGGAAAGGTCAAGGTCAAAAAATGTTGATGCAGTTGAAAAGGTTACATCAGTATGTATTAGCATATGAAGTTTGATGAAAATATTATGAATGGTTTCTTTAAAACTGAGCTAAACACTAATTTAAGAAAAGTGAGGTCAAGGTCAAAGGAAAGGTCAAGGTCAAAAAATATTGATGCAGTTGAATAGCTCTCATCAGTATGTATCAGCATATGAAGTTTGACACTAATTTAAGAAAAGTGAGGTCAAGGTCAAGGGAAAGGTCAAGGTCAAAAAATGTTGATGCAGTTGAATAGCTCTCATCAGTATGTATCAGCATATGAAGTTTGTTAAAAATATCTTGAATGGTTTCATTAAAACAGAGCTAAACATTAATTTAAGAAAAGTGAGGTCAAGGTCAAAATAAAGGTCAAGGTCAAAAAAATGTTGATGCAATTGAATAGCTTACATCAGTATGTATCAACATATGAAGTTTGATTACACTATCTTGAATGGTATCTTTAAAACTGAGCTAAACACTAATTTAAGAAAAGTGAGGTCAAGGTCAAAGGAAAGGTCAAGGTCAAAAAATGTTGATGCAGTTGCATAGCCCTCATCAATATCTATCAGCATATGAAGTTTGATAAAAATATCTTGGATAGTTTCTTTGAAACTGAGCTTTGAACAGAGCTAAACGCAAAGTGTGACGGAAGGACAGACGGAAGGACAGAAGGACGGAAGGACGGAAGACGGACATGACAAACACTATATGCCCCGGCCATATTCATGGCGGGGCATAAAAATGAATGGAAACTGTTGGTGGACCGACAGACAGACAGACAGACAGACCAACCAACAGACCGACCGACAGACAGCAGCAAAGCAATATGCCCTCCCTTCTTGTTTGCTAATAACATGCTAATACAAAATAGTCTTGGTAGGTAGGATTTTGTTTTTACTTTTTAAATTTTTTTTTTTTTTTTTTTTTACAAAAAGGCATATCTTTGAAAATACATTTGGCACCTGATTCCTCCCCTGTTTTCAGAAGACCGTATTTGCTCTACTCCCAATACTTGGATTATTTAATTGGATTTTTGAGCACGCTTACTGTTCGTTATCTTCGTATTTCACTTCCAAAGCTCTAGATATGAAAAAATCTTCTTCCTTTTTTTTTTAATAATCTACCCCGGCTACAGATCTAAAAAAAAAAATTGCTTCTAAAAAGGGATCGAATTGTCACGTTTGAAGGAAAAACGTAAAGACAAGCAAATTTCCATTGAAAACAAAAATTTGGTTCAGTGCATACAGTAAGAGTGGGATGGGTAACAACCATATCTTTTTTCTCAAGCTTAATGACGTTTCTAATGACTGACCTTCTAATATAATCCATCATTTATCTGCAATTTACCTTGAAAACTATAAAATGTTGTTTGTTTTTTTTAAATGAACCATTAATTCTTTATTCATTTTGTGTCCCATACAGTCCCTGAAACGTTCTACTTTCCCATTTTTCCGTTCGCTCACCGTTCGTTCACCGTTCGTTCAGCGTGCGTTCACCGTTCGTTCACCGTGCGTTCACCGTTCGCTCTCCGTTCACAGTTTTGCGTTCACCGTTCACCGTGCGCTCGCGTTCACCGTTCACAAAGCGTTCAGCGTTCGCTCTTCGTTCCGTTCACTTTGCGTTCACCTTGCGTTCAGCGTTCACCTATCGTTCAGTTTTCATTGCCATTCGGAACTCCCAAGTGAAAGGACTTATCTTTTTGTAGGTAAGGAGTTACAGATTTTTTAATTTAATAGCTAACATATCGTGTTTGAAGAATCATTATTTCATCGGGGAAAATATCTAAGATATATATTTTTATTATTCTAACTTAGCTATTAGATTATTTATTAAATTACTCTGGAAAATAAATGTTGTTATAAGCACATTCTGTACCTATGTAGAACGATGCTGATATATTAAATTTAACTAAGGGCAATGTGCAAATACTTCAAGCACTGCAACATTTTGTTGTTTTGTTAAAGACGACAAATCGTTAATCGAGATATAATTATCCAAGTCAAATAATTACGCAGCAAAATTACGAAAATATTTATTTCTAACGCGTTTTTTTTTATTCAGTTACTACAGAAAATATGATAGAACTAGTTCTGAGTGTTATACATAGTACTGCGGATATCCTGTTAATTTATTACCTTTGGAGCGAATTAAATTGATAGTGTGTTTAAAGGAAATATTTATTTAAAATGTAATGCACTACAGAATTTTTGCTACTATGATACATGAATGTAAAGTCTATAGTTATAGAGAAAAAAATTCTTTTTTTCACCGTAACTTTATATGTTTGCCATTCGATAAGATTAATACCCTCCTTTCCCCTAAACCGGTTACTTAGTCAGTACTGTATTTCCAGAAAATTTTAATTAACCTGTTAAAAAAAAGTTAAGGTCTTTTTTAGAACAAAAATTTCAGTCTCAAAACAAACATGCATCTAAAAAAAGTCGCAAAACAATAGTAGTTCACAATGTACACGTGTCGGCGGTGGTATTTCAAGTGTTAATGCCCTATATATTTTATTCATTTATTATTCAAATGTTGGTATCAAATCTAGAAATGATAAAAATAAATGTTATAACTTGTTGGAAATACTCGCACTTCGTCTTCGATGTGACGAAACTTTCACACCTGCACAGTGTCAATGATTTTGATTGACAGGACAAGCACGTGGACTTCGTGTGAACTTGAATCAGGAAAATAAAAACTGTCAAACAGATGGATATGATTTGTTGATTAAAAAAAGTTACTTTCACTGTCTAATATATTTAGAAAAAAATTTCAGAGTTATTGTTTGATATAGGTACAAACATTTAGTGAAGCCTGAAAGGAAGGGGGGGGGAGGCTAAAACGGAATCTCTCTCTCTCTCATTTGTCTGTTTAATAAAAATTATAACAGCATATTACTTAAATATCAAGTTCTGAAAATTGAATTTATAACAAATAATATGAATATGTATCTTTGTATTATCTTGTCCGAGTATAATCACGGCCATCTAGAGATACATGTAGAAGTCTGCTCAATAAATCATCATGAAAAATAGAAATGATACATAATATATTATTGTATTAAAATTCAAAATACGAGCGTATAAATGCAAAACGTCCACTGACCTTTGTAATTAATTTTGTTTCATTACATGAAATCGCCTTGACACGGAGATATATGAATGGATGTTACAATCGCTTTAATTCATTCTATAAGTCAGAAGTTTTCTCTGATTTGTTATCAAATAAGAATAAACATTTTTATTTTCCAACTAAAAAAATATCTTTTATACTTCAGCGTTCGGCAACAATTGCAATGTTTTAATGCGTTAAAAATCGTATGATTAAAAACTTAATGTGCATGAATCGTCTTTCTGAGGACAATTTTGGAGAATTTATTTTATTTACTTATTTATTCATTCATTTATTGGTTTACTTATTTATTTATTTATTTTTTTATTTTATTTTTTTTTTTTTTTTTGGCACCTGACATTATAATACAATAAAATAGTTTCAATGCAAGGAAAAGATCAGAGGCATTCCGAATATATCGTTCATCTTGCGTTCACCGTTCGTTCACCGTTCACTTTGCGTTCGCGTTTGCGCTCCGTTCGCGTTCTGCGTTCGCTCACCGTTCACCGTTCACACATCGTTCACCAAGTTGCGTTCAGCGTTCACACATCGTTCACTCACCGTTCGCTCTGCGTTCGTTCAGCGTTCGTTCACCGTTCGTTCAGCGTTCGCTCACCGTTCAAGTGGGAAAGTAGAACGTTTCAGGGACTGTATTTACTTGAACTCAAAACAAAAAATGAGTAATTAATATGCCAGGAATTTTCTTCTTCCAAGAAGATCAGCTCCCCCAGGGAAACACACTGTTTATCACCAGTACTCTACATAGCATTAACATACCCAATTTACTTTTGATGTCGAAAAAAAAGTAATCTGTTTTTTTTTTTTTTGTTTTTTTTTTTGCAGTTCATTTGTCCAAAACAACAAGGCAATTAGGAAAAAAAAAAATTTTGACAAAAAATATGAAAAAATTATTAAAGAACATCTTTGAAAAGTATTCCTATATTCTTTACAACCAATACCGTAAATCTGGAAATTTTTACTGTAGATAAATTTTTAGCAAATTTGCGCATGCATTTCATTCGCAAAAATATATTTCTTAAAAATAAATCAAAAACAAAAAAATGAAAACAAAAAAATTTGCTATTTTTAACAAGATGAACAGGTGTTCATAAGCAGTGGTAATTTGAAGAAACCTGTTTATACTACAAGCTAATTACCCAAGATAATCCGTGCGTGAGAATGCCTTCACTACATTCAATATCGTCCGATGGTTTGACAGGCAGTATGTCTCTTTTAAATTATTTCTCTAAGACAGAGAGGCCAGTTGTTTTATCTAAGAACAAAAGTTTTTATATGAAGGTTACTTAAAGCTGACATCGTTTTATATATTTTATGTACATGCGTGATTTATTAAAATGTTATGAAAAATTTAAAAAGTTTAGATGTTTTATCTCTTCTAATATTTTTATCAGATTATTGAACATTGGCATTGTTTAGTATTGTATGTACATGCGTAATTTATTGTATGTACATGCGTAATTTATTGTATGTACATGCCTAATTTATAATCCGATTATTGAATGTTGGCATCGTTTAATATTGTATGTACATGTGTACCACATGCGTAACATATTTTACGCACTTTTTAATTTTAGCACCAATGTCAATTTGCAAAATTTTGAAATGTAAAAATTAATCAACTGCTTTTTGACCCAGATTCACAAAAATAAATCGACGTAAAAATTTCCAGATTTACGGTATTTCCATTATTCAAAGTGTCATAGGAGGTTAATGAAATATATGTTATTTTTTCTAAACAATGTACACAATGAATGGTATTAACACGTGATTAAAAACAAAGAAAATTCATCAAAAGGTTACATCAGGACCAAAGTGATGCTCTCAACACAAAAAATTATGGCATGGTTAACATTAGAATTTAATGAACCATAATTCAACGTGACATGGAATTTATTTTATAGAGTTAATCTAAGCCCTACTGCAGTTGGACAAAGGTTATCTAAACTATGCTACTATTAATGGAAAAAAGTATGTAAATTCATCTTTAGTTGTTTTTTTTCTCTGCATCAAAGAATATAATCAAGAGAAACCAAAGCAGTTTAATATGACTTTTTTTTTCTTCAAAATAATGTAAAAAAAAAAACTCCTTTATTAACTTTATAAAGCAATTAAAGCAAAAAATAAAACACCGAGACAATTTTGCAAAGGGAATCTCCAAGGCATAATCACCAAAATAAACCCTATAACTGCTGTCTCTTATCAATTCTTCATAAAACTCAAAACGGAGAACTTAAATTTCATCTGAAGCCCTGAAAACAACCTGAAAATGACTTCTTTAAATATATCTTTTACTCATTATTATTGTTTTAAGAATAATAATTATTTCAGCAGTATTCTGCATTTTTTGCAAATTTGCAAATAAATGACTTGGAAGGGGAAAGGATTTAAGACTGTAAATTCCTGTACAGTCAAACCCCGTGATCTCAAACTTGATGGGCCCAAGTAGAAACTTCCAGATTTCGAAGGATTCAAGATATCATGGTTAAAGTACATAGAGAAAAAGTGCCTGGGACTTCCACATCACTTTGGCCTATCCACGATTATCGGAGATATCTGTGTTCGAGATTCTACTGTATAGGAATTAGTGTCTACTTATTTGGCATGTTTGGTGATTATGAGCAGGATAACAGACCTGGGACCTGATGATGTAACATCTGCTCAGGGGATTTTCAATGTGCTCCTAGGTTTATTACAAGTTTAACATAAATATGATTATTCAGTATTATATTTCAATATGTGCTAGTGTGGGGTAAAAAAAAAAAGATATACAATTGAAGTTTGATATCTTGAACACCAGTATTTCGAATAGCATGGATATGTCGAAGTGATTTGGAAGTCCCAAACACTTATTCTTTAATTACTTACCCTCAGTATCTCTAATCCTCAGATATCTCTCTGTTTTTTCTCAGTCCCATTGAGTTCAAGATAACGAGGTTTGACTGTACCTGGCACCAGGTGGTTTCAATAAATATATCTATATCTGCTATTATAAATGAGTTTTACAGAATAGAAACCTGACATACTTCTTTTTTTATTTCAGAAGATCCTTACCTGGGACCTGGTCGTATTTGTTTCCGATCATCCTTCTGCCACATGTAAATAGGTGGAGGGGTGGAGTTGATCTCACAATGGAACCTGGCCACCCCTCCTAATGGAACGTCCTGAGACTGAGGTTCCTTTGAGTAAGATTTAGCTATACCTGAAAAGACAAAAACTTTTACTTTTTATGCTTGCTTAAAAACAGCATGCTAAACTTTGAAATTCCCCACTACAACAGGCTTTTCAAAATCTGCCAGTACCCGGTAGTTTTACCCAGCTGAAATCATGACTATACTGGCCAAAATATTTGCATCTGAAAAATTCTGTAACATACTTCATTAAATTTAAATCATTTTCACAAGGTACCTCTAATTTTCTGTAGAGGTACCACCTGTTTATAATCTTTTTGAAAGCCCTGTGTCACAACGTTGTTCCTAGCAAGAATTTTTTTTTTTTTTGAAATATGACTGAGTATTTATGAGTGACATTTATCATGTTAATTAATATCAAAAGTCATCTTCTGCAACTCAGAAACCTCTTTTTTTTCCACTGTGATATTCCGTTTGCACCAACAAAGAGGAAGCCTTTGTCTGATCAGAGAAAATTCTGTTAAGAAGATTCTGATGGCCTGAAGTTTAGACTATAGTAAGATAGTGCCTCCAGTTCGACAATAAGACAGAAAGACATAATCAGCAAATCTGACAAAATCAACACTTTACAAGAATTCTGCAATGCAAAATGGATATCATAAATTCAGGGACCTATATACTAACGGGATAGGCAACTCTCACAAGTCTCGCATTATCTCGTAAGTTGTGGGATTTCGTAAGTCAATTTTACTGTATATACTCGCCTATAAGTCGGTTTTTTGGGAGTTAAACTTTGGTCCAAAAACCCCTGTCCGACTTATAGGCGAGTTATGAAAATATTGGTATAATAGCAGGTCAATCCCTTTAATGTAAATTTAAAAAATACAACGGACTTATAGGCGGACCGACCTATAGGCGAGTATATACGGTAATTAAATACATGTATATATCTTTTGCTATCAAATATTTCAGAATAAAACCTTAATTTATCTATCAAAAAATTATTCAAGATTTGTTGTTAGCACTGTTTCTACTCCTTATCTTAGTAGTAAATACATGTACGTTTATTTAAAAGTCAGTGCGTGCGCCTGATTGGCCATATTTCTGAGAATTCTCTGATTTTGGTGGTTGTTGACTTTAATATCTAAATTATTTTATAACATGTGCTTTAAAATTTATTAAATGTCCATTCCGATACACAAAAAGAACAGATTACATTAATCAGCAAACAAGTTTCTTACTGGGAAAAAAGGTAGTTTAAAAAACTTGCAGTGTTGTGTGTGCCGTTTTGGGTAAATAAACATGGCGCTGAAGGAGTTGCCTATCCCGTTAGTATATAGGTCCCTGATAAATTGAAGGGGAAAAAAAAAACTCTTCCCTTGTCAAATACAAATTAAAGACCCCATTTTTCTCTTTAAAAAGCAGTAGTTATGTATATAACCAAAGCACCCCCCCCCCCAAATGAACATACTACTTTGCTTTCTGTTTGTTGTTACAATTGTTGCTGTTTAAAAATGGATTTTTAATTTTTATTTAAACTTCAGTTTGAGATAGAGGATGAAACTTCATGGAACCTAGTATTCCATGTGGTAGATTTTATGCAACACAGTTTGAACTTTATTGTCTTTTTCCCTGGAGATAAAGAGTTCCATTACTTAAAGGAACTGTGTGCTTCATTTTTAAATTAATGTCTATATACTTCTTGTAAAACAAGTTTGGATATTAAACATATATGTTTAGTAATTTTTATATATTTTTCTTTGATTTTCATCAATTGATATCTTTTCAAAACCCCTGGTAATGCAAGCTGATTTTTTGTCTACAAACATCTGATGGCACTATAATCTTAAATTAAGAATATCTTGAAAAATTATCAGTAGGTAAGGTATGTTGCATATGTCCTTAAACTCAAAATTGAGTCGATGTATTGATGCATTCTCCTTCATCAGGAAGAACCTCCTTAAACCATCAGAATAAATATGATATACGTTTTGACTACACTTTCTTTGTTTATCTCTGTGTCAATCATCAAAAAGATAACATCATTTTGTATAGTACACAATTAGCGGGAACGATACAAATGTCAAATATCTAGGCTCACTAATTAATTTATCCTTCAATTATATCAATTTTGCAACTGAATCTTAGTATTCTAAAAAATTAATATATACGCTATAAATGTCTTAAACTTCAATAAAGCTAGGATTTCAGGCCAATATCCAACAATGCAATTTCATTATGTTAAAATCAGTTTCCATTTTACGAACCAAAATATGTATTAATTTCTGAAGGTATATGTACTCTTTCATAAGGAAAGTAGAAATTAACATAGATATATATATGCCAAGAATTTCTTGCAAAAATATCCAAATAATTTAATTTGTGCATACATTGGTACACATATTGTGGTGCACATATTGTGTGGGAAAACTGATCAAGTAATATACATCCCTTTTCCTGACACATAATTGTCTAAATAACATTTATAACCCATTTATATCCTCCCTTCATGAATTCTAAAACATGATCTTTATCGATTTCAGCTTAGTGCTCCATACATCATAAAAACTGGCATAAAAAACTAAGGAAATCATTCTCTTTGGGGTTACATATAATATGTATGGTAAAGTAATAGAGAGGATTGGACTCTTATAATTTCTTACAACGCTTAACTGATCCAATTTTTTGTACAGGGTCTTGTGCCCTTTCAATTAGTAATTTCAAATCAAAAAAATGGCAAAATTTGGAAATTTTTGTGTCTTATATTAAGTTTTACAGTAAAATTTTATTAATAATTCAGCATAAGATTGAAGGTTTATTCTCTAATTTACATCTTTATCATGTTTATGAATCATTTATGATATTTCAAAATTCAAGTTTTAATAATGTAAAAACCACTGAAAAAATTTAATCAGCTCATCATTTGGGAATTTTATTTTTTTGTTGTTGTTTGCTTGCTTTAAATTACTGGCATTTGATTGATTTCAAGCAAGTATTTGTGACATTTGCACTGCTCAAATTGAAAGAGAAAGTCACTGATTGAAGTATATAGTTGATATCAGTGAATCGACATCAGAATTATCATTTTTGGGGAAAAAAAATGTAATGTAACGTGAATGTGTAGAGCCTGCAAGGTTAGCCAGAGGTTTGAATTTGAATCTGTCTGGTAGAGCCCGCAAGGTTAGCCAGAGGTTTGAATTTGAATCCCTGTCTGGTAGAGCCCGCAAGGTTAGCTAGATGTTTGAATATGAGTACGTGTCTGGTAGAGCACCCACGAGGTTAGCCAGAGGTTTGTATTTGAGTCCATGTCTGGAAGAACACCTGCAACATTAGCCAGAGGTCTGAACTTGAGTCCCCCTCTGGTAGAGCCTGCAAGGTTAGCCAGAGGTTTGAATTTGAGTCCCTGTCTGGCCTTCACATTTATAAGCCTTGTTATATAATACTGGATATAAAGTGTCTCCTTCACGTAATCTTTAATGTATATAATGAACAGGAGGAATGGACACCAAGTTGTAACAGAATCCATAAAAAAAAACAAACTGTTTTATCATGTGGAACGGATAGCAAAAGCAATGTTTAACAGAAATCATATGAGATCATCATATATTTTTTTAATGTTCAGAATTAACTAGTTCTAGGTATAGAGCAGCTGTGTTTACGAGGATCGTTGAGTCTTGAGAAAAACAATCAATACCTGCACAAAATGCTTCCATAATCCCTCTCTTGATTATTTTTACCATTCATCTGATGTTGAACCACTTTGATCCTGTCTTATAAGATTTTAATCTACTCTACGCTCCGCTGATGACAGGCAAAACAAATAAAGGATTTCTGTATATGATACTAATGTGCTCTGTGCAGCAGCCGTCAAGGTAATATGTTATGAAACTTTCAAGGTTATAAATACACATTTCTCACTGACAATAATTATACTGGGTTTTTTTTTCATATTTTTTTATTTATTTAGCAACACAAAAGTATGATTGTCAAAGAAAGTTTTAACAATTTATCTGTTCACCATGTCAAAAAAGTAAGAATGTTCACCATTCTTTTGATAAATTTTCACTGTACAGATATAAACTTCGGCATCTTGAACATCAACATCTTGAATACAATGGATATGTGGAAACATGCTGAATATCTCAAATCCTCCGATGTCTTCATTTTTTTCTGGGTCCATTCGAGTCTGAGATAAGTTCTGTCTGTATATATATAATATATATAATACTATCCCCTCAAAATTATTAGGTTACAGTGCATGTGATTCTAAAATCAACAATGAGCATTTACTGAAAATATCATATTAAAAGAACTAACTAAATATCATCCTTAAAACCACCAAATATTATCCCAGTGAACTGTAACAATCTACAATGGAACTGTGGGACATTACAGTACCTTGATTATTCTGCAATTCACAAATTGACAATACTCCTTTTTTTTTTTTTTTGTCAAACACATGGAGGGTTCTTATTTTAAAACTTAAACAACTGATTCCCAGAAGCCCATTATCAAGATGGATTCAGGCATGGAGACGTATTTGATTTTTTTTTTTTAGTTCTCAAATCATTCACCATATTGAAAGATCCTGAATATGCACTGTAGATTACATTTCTAAGAAAAACCAAGTACTCTGTACTGGGAACACTAATTCTGACAAAATCCTGGCTATCTCTTATATTTTCTAATGTTTCACTCAATCTTGTGCTGTCTCAGGATAAAAATCTGACATACTTCAAAGACTGGATGATATCATCGAGACTTTGACTGTGGTAGAATAGGGAAAGGGTGGGTAATGCTTGAGCATCAGCCCTCTTCATAACTACCCTGTAAGACAACTGACAAAATCAGAGCCAAGAGTCTACAGTAAGTATTTCTAACATGAAGAAACCTTGACTGATACCAGTAGGACTTTGAAAGCAATAAAGAAGAGGGGGAATAATGCTTGAGCCTTGGCCTTCCTCATCCCAAACTGGAACCTAAAACTGTAAACCTTTACCTGCAAACACTGGGCACTTGAGATGTGGACCACTTCTATACACCTCAGATTACATCATGAAGGTAAACAACGCAAGGCTTGACAGTCTGTCAACATTGGCCGTTATCAATCCTTGATAAATAAATGAAAAGATTCCAGTGTGCGAGGTGGATGAACTCCAGGACCTTGGTCCGGTTCAGGGCACTCTAATCTGTACTAGAGCATTCTAGATACGTAGGTCATATTATTCTGCGTCTTCTCTCCTGTATAATGGCTCATTTTTGTGATAATCCAATTTTCACTTTCTCTGCGAGCATTTTTTAATTGCAAAAAAAATATTTTGCATAAAATTGGCACCGATTGTTTGAACCATATAGATTACATAGACACCTTTATTAAGCCTTGTTAGAATCACAAAAATAGGACGGTGCAAATTAAAAATAACTATTATTTGGAATATTTTCCCAAAAAAAAAGCAATAAGGAGAAAAAAATGACATACAGTTATAATATTCTGGCATACAGAATTCAAAATATCTATCTTCATTAACACCGATAACTAGAGGTTTATTGGAGAATACACAGAGGTATAAATACACAGTTCATGACAATTGAAATTATTTTTGAATTCGGAAATAATTTTCATTTTCTACGAAAGCACTCCCAAGTTAATTCCGTTTAATATCAATATCATGAAAACAGGGCAAACTCTATTGAGCTTAAGTTGGAGAATTAAAAGACTTGCAGTTCTTAGCACATACACCATTACAACATGATCGTATTTCAAAGTTTCAGTTAAACTTCCATCTCGATGTCAACAAAAAAAACATTAATACATGATGTACAATAAAAACACTTCCCGCCCATAAAAATTAATAATTTCAAGTGAATGATACATAATACATATCTTTTAACACGCAATATAGCATACTCTAAATGTATTTATTTGCCAAGGTTAAACTGTAACATAATATGTGCTTTCCGTGAAAAGAGACTTGCCCCCCCCTAATGTCACAACACTCCAGATAAATCACTCGGAGCTTTTTTTTATGCTACATATTTAACACTAATCCTTGCAGTGAATGAGTTTTCCCCGATCTGTCAGGTCTTACTTGTTCCATTCATAAGTTACACTTTATCGACCCACCAGATCTTGCTCCTTGTTTAAACATAAAAACCTGCCCTGTCCTTTTAAGAATTTTTTTTCTTATGTCAACAAGTGCTTTATGTCAGAAGCCCTTATCTGCTAACAGCTTGACCTAAATTAACACGTTACATGATACACTTTCATATCTATTTTTATTTTCCTAATATTTATTTATTTTATTATTTTTCATGCAGAAAGCGTAGGGTTGTTTTTAATTTAAATGTTGTGAAAAGGAATACTATGTATTTACATATATCATTGAAAATCAGAAAATAATTTAAGTCCATCCATGCATTAATATCACTTTACACATCTAACAGATAAACAGATTTTAATACTCTCATATTGGGGTCGGGGGGGGGGGGGGGGGAGGGTCGGGGGGGCTCCTTTTTTTCTTCCTTTACTTTTTCTTTTCAGTGAAATTATCTAAATATAACAAGAATTCTGCTATTTTTTTTTGTATTGCACACATTCCTTCCCCCCTTGATGGGGCCTCTCATAATCTTTGTTGTAGGATGACTGACCTGGTCTTTGTGGGTCACACAGAGGAAGCATGCCCGAGCTGCAGGTTTCCAAATCCAATCAAATATCATCAAAGCCTGGCACCACATACCACTTTGTAAGTGAAAACTATCAACTAATTCACCCCCTCATCCAAAACTTTTACAGAAATCACAAACCACCCCCAAAAAGATGGAACTATTTTTCTTCAAAACATTGCTGGGGCCCGCAGTGGGGTGAATAACCTCCACGAGGATAATCAGAGGCGTATTGATTGGTTCGCCATTTTTTATGTGAAAAAATCATTAAGAATGATTTATACCGTTACCATAATATGATACAAACATTTTTATACAACATATACTTTGCCAATTCTGTGTAATGAAAACAATCAGAATATTCTAAGACTTTAGTTAATAGAATTACCAGAATGTACATGTTAGAGGATGTTTTTAGTACACTCTGACTCAGGTATATATGATTAAGGCTACAAAATATTTTTTAAGCCCTGATAATGTGCATAATGAAAGAAATTTGCTACTGAACAAAATCACTTGGTAATGCAGTTTACCCCCTTTTTGTTTGTTTGTTTGTTTTGTTTTTTTTTTGTTTTTTTGTTTGTTTTTTTTTGGTTTTGTTTTTCATGTTTTTCTCAGTATTTTGCACTAACATGGGTAGGGGGGACTTTATAGGGAGAATACAGTATATATTGTATAGTCTTTACCAAATCTTTTTTTTTTTCAGCACGTGCCCTTCAGGCAGGTGTATCCAGTAATTACACACACACATTTACATGCCCAAAATTTTCTTAGTTATTTTATTTTTATTTGCCTTTTCATGCCAAGGAAATCCATTTTTTTTTCAGAGAGCATCTACTGTATTGTCAAACCATTATTTTCAACCTGTACACTTTTAGTCTCTTCAATGTAAAAAAAATTTCTAAGACATTGTGGTAGAATAATCTGTCGTTAAAATTTTATCCTTCACTTTGGATGAATAAATCATCCAAACCCTTTAAAGTATATTTAATGTTAATGATGTTATTTAATTAGACATGTTACGATATTCAATCATGAAAATGAAACATCTGATGAATGAATTGATCACTCGAATCAAAATCTAAAGTACATTGTTATGAACAATTAGGAGGTTTAGGCCTATACAAATTTATATGCCCTTTGGGCCTGTTAGCCCAATTTCCACATGCTTCAAACTCTACCAGGTCTCGGGCATCATTCTCCCAGGACAATGTCGAAGACTGATTGTATGTTTTCAAATTTTCATCTCTTTACTTGCTTACCAATATCAGTGCATGATTCACCTGATCAATATTGTGTTTGTTTTTAAAATTCATTATGTTTGAATCCTTGACCTAATACAGGTATAATGGTAGTTATTAAATATAGTCTATTTATATTCACAATATAATCTATACAATGGAAAACAGTTCACAACATTACATATTCACTGGATTTGAACCCGTATTCACTGGAGGGTCAGTGCGCGTGCACTGGAGATTGTGACGTCTCAAACGACACCTCAACAACGTTGTAAACGATGGTTGCAATGGACAGAGCCAGCTGTGTATCTGAGCACAAAAAAATGTTAGGCAAACCCATCACTGAATTATTTTTCAAACATTTTCAATGTCTTACACACAACAAAAGGAAAACACAGAAGCTATAACTTGTAATCTGGACATTTTTAATTGAACTACGACAGAATAAAAATGGTGTCATCATCATGTCACATACCCAGCCTTCAATGTCAGCGCTATTTACCTTTTCTTACAATTTTCAGTAATTTCAATGGCTTCTCTCTGTAATTTGAGCTTGTCATCCGTAACTTATAGTTGGCAATGTTTTAATTTTCTAATGTACAGCTGATGTACATTTGAAAACATTTGTTATATTGTTATTTTGTGTTAATACCCCTTTTGCCAGCAAGTATTGTGTACAGAATTCTCAATATCTATAAACACAAGTGTAATAACGGTTTTTATAAGTATATCCCTATCCTTGCTGAAGTATTAATGTGACATAAAAAGAATTAAAATTCAGGGGAAAACACAGAAGTGTAATTTTCCAAGGCCGATCCATAATCCTTATTTTAAAACAAAAATCAGGGATAAACTGAATTTTTGCAATAGAAAACAGCTCAGCAATGTCTTACTTATTCAACTCTGGACTATATATGATAAAACAATTATGGACTCTTTTGGTGGTGAATATCGTTTGTTATTCACCAGAAAAATATCAATTCTTACCTCAGCTTCGCCTCGGTTGATATATTTTTCTGGTGAATAAAAAACCATATTCGAAAGAGTTCATAATCGTATGATATACTCCCACTGGATACAGAACTAGTGCTCTTAATTTGAAAGGATAGTTCACATATATTTTTTTTAATCATCGAATATTTGGACATTTAGGAATTGCAGAGGAAAGAACAGCAACTCTGCACAGAAGATTGAACGTAGAATCTTAATAAGGTCATTCGTGTGACTCCCTCTCATAGGTATTGCATTCACATGACATAAAAATAAAATGTAGCATATTTAGAATGCATTATTTTTGGAAAGTTATATATCTGTAATCCATACTTTGAAATTAAAATCTGTAACAAATACAGAAACAATGTAATAGTAAATAGCTCTGGTAATAGTGTTACCTAAGATTTCACGGCAATATTCTGTAATAATCATGATAATAATAATGACTTGAAAGCTCTGGAAGCTATTTGATATATATATGTTATGAGCACAGCAGACAAACTGTTCTAATGATGACACACAGCTACTCTTTTCATACTCAGAAAAACTCCTTTTTTATCAGGAAAATACTCTAGGGACACTGTCACCTAAGTTATGAATCATACAACAATTTTTGGATACAAATCTTTTGCCTACAGGTTAAGCAATATGTTACATAATATTATATTTTACCACTAGGATTCATTGACAAAATGTTTTTATGATGTACGTATCATTACTCAAAAAAAGTTAACAACAGGTGCTTGTTTATTATTTCACCATTTCTTATTTAATTTCCAGAAAAAGAAACAGTTTAGTATCTTTTTTGGGGAAACTGCTATTGTAGGCATAAGCACTCACCAAAATTTACACCTTTTTTTTCCCTTTCAAAAAATCAAAACCCATTGGAACTCCCAAAGGGTGTCAACAACTGACTCCTGCAGAATTACGTGACTTACCTGCAATCTTAACTTTGACCCGTTTTGCGATAATGCTGCCAATGTTGTTCCGGACATGACACTCGTACACGCCTTCATCTGTGATGTTCTTCTTGCGGCGGAACAGGACCCGTTTAAAAGAAAGTGACCCGTTTATGACCTGTATTCGCCGCTGGTTCTCCAGCTGTAGACGCTGCCCATTCTTGTACCAGGTGAACTTTGTGGATGTATTGGACTCCACGGTACAATTTAGAAGCAGAGGGTTGCCTTTCTGAGCCACTACATTGTAGCTGTCTGGCCGTGTTAAAGAAATACCCGTAGATGTGAGATCCTCCCCTGAAAAAAAAAATCATTGAAAAACTTCAGATCCTCCCCTGAGAAACAATGACATCATTGTGAATTATTTTAGACCCTGAAATTATTTGATGAACAAATCTTGCTACAATCTAAATCATGTAAATACGGTATACACATGTGTACTAATAAAAAATTGAACTAGTATGCATAGATGAGAATATCATTTCGCATGTCCATGACAATATTTTTTTTTAAAATATGATAATTATCTCAGGGATTGATTTGAAGGAAAATAATAAAATGATTACCATCCATAAATAACTGTTATATGCAACAGAATCATTCATACAGTAACACCTGTTTAATTGAAAATTTGTCAGAATAGACAGGTCCGTCAGACAAAACAATGCATTGATAGCACTTATCATTGGGACCACATTATTTTAACTGATTTTATAGACATTTCTAAAAGCGTAATAATTTGAAGATATTTAAGAAATAAAGTCCGCGTTATCGTGAATGTTGCAGGATAACCTCCGAGGTCGAGAAATGTTGTCTGAAATATAAAAGTCGAGGCGTTAGCCGAGGCTTTTATATTTCAGACAACATTTCGAGACCGAGGAGGTTATCCTGCATCATTCACGACAACAAGGACTTTATTTCTATTCTACTAACAGCTCTAAAATACAGTTGATCGTTTTCTCTATAGAGAAACGAATTAGGTCATCATGTTGCAATTTCGCTGTTCCATTTAACACCAGAGGGTCAATTGATTGCATAAAATGCAGACGATTTCAGCTTTTGTTGGATTAAAAATATCCTTTAATTATTTATAAATTTGCTTGTAACATATACTGATTAATTTTTATGAATGAAAAATAACAAAACCAGTTGTCTATTTCATTGATTTATCAGTAAAATCACGGGAGTGTAAATGTTGTGGGGAGGTCCGTAGAACAGCCCCACTTGGCTATAAAAACGGATATTTATCAGCTGTTTCAGGCAATACACACGTTTAGACTGCGTAAGACGACACATCGATGTGGTCTAAATAAGTATTAGATTCTACAGTGAAATATTTATTTCAACTGTACAGATTTGACATGTGTTTCTGATCTGATAATTTTTTGATGACGTTCGTGATTTATTGGAGAATAATGTCCGCGGCATTTCTTTGATCTCGGCAATAATCGTAGTAGAATATGAGATACATCACTAATATTTGTATTGTGATCAGTCAGCCTGTTACTTAAACAAGTCATGGAAAAAAATTAATTCAATGAGTAATCAATTAGGATTGCATAGAGTTACCCCTCTTAAAACAAAACTAAATGCATAATTCTTAGAAAGAAATCACAAGCATAACCCATTATTCATCTTTAAAAAATGTCATAGAAAAGTAATTTTTCCTTGAAACAAAGTTTGGAACAAAAGGAGAACTCTTTTATTGAATTATCATGGTAACCCCAAAAAAATGATATCCAGCTTGTGGACATGGTGGTGAAAGCTTCAAACTAGCGGCAAAAAAATCATACTTGGAATAAAAATTGGACTTGACCATGAAAATGAACTTCAAAATAGGGTAAAAATATTTCCTTCAACTTTTGAGGGTTTTTTTTAAACTGGTGCGTTTCCTTTGAACCTGTAGCTTAGAACTCTTTTTTTGGAGGGGGGGGGGGGGGGGGGGTTAAATTCAGATTAAATGTTTTAATATGATACTTTGGACTTGTCATGCTGGGTCATTAAAAAAAATATGAAGTAATTTTTAGTATCTTATTTAAGTAATGTCCCTAACTGATTATGTTCGTCAACTTAAATGAAATGATAGTCTAAAAATAACTTCTATACATCAGTAAAACATGCTGTTAATAAACAAGGTTATTTCAAATTCATGCATATAGAGTTATGCAACAAATCAATTTTACATGACTTCATTAAAAAATGATTTAACTTCAGATAAAATAGATACATAATTTATATCAAGTTGTTATTCTTACCAAAAACTAATTTTACTTGGTGTAAAATTGAGTAGCAGGCAAATGCTGCCCCATCCCATTTATTCGTCTCCAACATTAAAAATACATGTACTAAAATCAAAAGCCTGAAAGGCTTCAATGACGTCGAAGAAGAAAAACAATTCAAAAGATCATTTTGAATTTGAAGATAGCAATAAGCTAAGTGAGTGACTCAGGAGACATAATAAAAAAATAGTTTAAACAAAATATCACAATTACAGTCTGGGGCCTTATGTCATGGTCCGAATGGAGCAGGGTTCAAATTGACCAGACACCGTCGAACATGTTCATGCTAAATTCTTTTCAGTCAGTTGAAGAACTATGAAGGATTTCATGAATTTACATAAGGCCAAATAAAAAAATATGTGTGATTCCGGTTACCCTACCTTCCCTATTTTATACCCCCGACCCTAAACTTTTTTTTTGGCAATTTTCATATTTTTTCCGAAATTTCCCCCGATCTCCATCAATGGCTCCAGTTTAAGTTTTAGTTTCAGCAATGATGGCCTCCTTGCAAAACATAGTGCAAGTGTTTAATAGTGTTAAATCCAAAGCAAGCTAGCATGTAGGTGTCCCCTACCAATATTGACTAGTATATTATCACACCACATCTAAATGCCATTTGCAAAGCAGAGATAGGTATTATTTAGAAAAAATTAAGAAAATCATTTTGTTAAAAAAAAAAAAAAAAAAAAAAAAAATCCCTACCTACCTACCCTAATTTTTTTGGAAGTGTAACCGGAACCACACATATTTTTTTTGTTTGGCCTAATATTTTTTCTAATTGCCAATGTCAAAGCATTGTATTAGTGATTGCGTCTAAACTACAACCAAGACTCTGTTCTGTTACAATATACGATCGAGTTATGATCGGGCGTGGTATACGGTATACTGGGAAATGGAGGAAATGGAAAAATACAGCAATACTGGTCAATATCATCGGTTTTTAGGATAGAGTTGGTTAGAAGATTGTATAAATAAAGCTAAGATTTAGAAATTCAATCTTTTTAGTCTTGTAGTATTCGTGTTTATGTAATTTTGTAATTATTTTACCTCCTGTTGTGTTGTTTATGTTACACAGTTATCGTTCCGAAATGTTATTCATGTCATTCAACACACCCTATCTGTAGAAATTCATCCGAAGCAACCATCTGCACGTTTTTCTTGTGTGAGAATAAAACATAATATTGTTGTTTTGCAATAGAATTAATTGCAGATATAATTGATGCAATTTTATTTTCAAGCTATTATTCATTTTGAGCGTTTTCAAAGAAATTGGTTTATAGCTATTGCTATTTTCTATTGCGGATGCATCGACTGACACATTCGGTCGAGTACATATCCGGTCGCGATTTCAACTGGGCGCTTGCTTCATCTCATAAAAAAATTCAGCTCCAGTCTCATGTTCAAATGCCCGAATTGGAAGGGAAGATTCAGGAATTGTTTTGCATCAGCCATGATTTGACATGAACCTCAAGTGAAATACTGTTATGACACCTATACTTGGCACTCAGGGCCATTGAGCAGTGAGGAATCTTTTACGTGCCAACACCTACTGCGACACGGGACCTCGGTTTATACGGTCTCATCCGAAGGACCGGTCTCCACGTCCCACAGTGGGATTCAACTCCTTACTCTAGACTAAACGCTCTAACCACTGCGCCACGCATAATTATATGAAGTCTTCCATTAAAGGCATCTTTATTCTATATATGTACATGTATATGTAGAAAAAATACTTTTCATTATTTAAAACATCAAATGAAGTGGGAATTTTTTGTGAATACTTTGAAAATTATTTTGTATTTTTAATTTTTTTGATCCCACAGCAATGTATATATCAATCGAAGAGCATGACATGAAATACATCAAAATTCAGAAAATCTGTAAGAAATTTTCAGGGGATTTCAATTTTTTCACGTGTTAACACTGAATTTGAATATAGTTATGAAAGGATAGATTATAGGCAGAATGCACAATAAGGATAGTTAAGTAAAAGTTTGCAATTAAATAACGACATGTTTTATCCCTTAACAAACTGTTTTCAATATTCATACAACTTTTTCTAGTGTACTATGTCCCAAAATATACTTAGAATTTGGCGCTATATTTACTCTTGAGAACCATACCCATTAAACCTCCCTTTAGAAAATATTGTATAAGCTAGCAAACTCTATCAATTCTGAACCTTTGTGCATGCCAGAGGTCAGTTTGGACATTGCATAATCTGGTCAGTGAGATTCTGCAAGCTGGGGATTAGTCAATCCCTATTTAGATTTAACTGACCTTTCAAAAGTTAACTTTTCACTTGAGGATCGATGCTCAGCGAAAAGAGAGGAAAAAAAACTTAAATTTCACATTCCACATCACACACAAGAAAGATTATCATTGACATTGTTTCACAGAGCATTAGGACAGGAAAAGTCCCGTTTTACTTTTTCCAGTCAAGTAAATTTTCAACCTTTTGTGCAACTACCATGTATATGTTTCTGACAAAGCCTCTTATTGTTCGACGGATTAACGAGTGTTGACTATATTGAGCCTTCTTAACACTACACGGTGCTTGACGTAAGCACCAACAACAAAAGTTGTGTAAGAGGTTTATATATACATATATATATATATATACCCTGTTTTTTGTTACAACAACAAAACAGGGGTATATAAGACTTCGTCTGCCCAGATTTAAAATTAAATTCCTCACATGCTTTGAAAACATGCAGTCAGGCTACTTCTTGTACTAACATTATTTATATGGAGTATTTCAGGGGACTTGAGCTTTTATAACAATACTAAATATTTGACAACTGTGTTGGTGGTCACTGGTATCTCTTGTTTGGTTGAATACATGCAACCTGTCCTTTCTTAAGTGAGAAACTGCACTACATATCTTGCAATATTAAACATGATCAAAATTAAATTTTTTTTTTTTTCAAAAAAGGGGGGAGGGGAGGGGGTATGAAAAACATTAGATTAAAAAAACATAGGTAATCAAAGATTACGAAGCTCACCTCGACGAATGTT